AGTTCAGGAGCCGTCAGATGGACATCCTTAGTGCTGCAACGGAGGCGGGAGAGGTTCCTGCCACTGTTGATGCACTTGCCAGCCGTGAGCCCGGCTTCTGGCTGAGCGGCGCTCCCCCTGTGGGAGCCCACTGACCACCAGGGGGCAGCTCCTACATTGAGCGTCTGCCCCCTGGTGGTCAGTGCGCATCATAGCGACCGGTCGTTCTGCCATTTGGTTGATTTGCAAAGTAGCCTTTTATTATATAGAATTTAACAATTTATCCATTCTAATAATGGACTTTTATTTATCCTTAAATGTTGGGGCTATTACAAATAGAGCTTCCAGAAACATAAACATGTTATAGGGTAGCACTGTCCATTAGAACTGCAATGCTAGAAATGCTTTCTATTTGTGCTGTCCAACACAGTAGCCACTGGCCACATTTGGATATTGAGCATTATGTTGTGAGTCATGCAATTACAGAACTGAATTTTAATTTTAAAAAATCTTAAATTAATTTAAATTTAAAGAGCTATGTGTGAATAGTGGCTACTGTATTGGATAATGCAGTTCTAAGGTATATACCCGAGAATGGAATTTCTGGGACATGAACCATGTATTTATATAACTTTTATAGCTATTGCAAAACTGTTTTCCAAAGTGTTTTTAAGAATTTACTCAACCAGTAGTTTGTGAATTTCTATTGTTCCGCATTCTCATCAATTCTTGGCATTGTCAGACTGTTTAGTTTTGGCTATTCTTTGGGTACACAGTGGTCTCATATTGCTATTTTAATTGAGATTTCCAGATGGCTAATGATGTGGTGTTTCTTTCTGTATGTTTACAGATATTTATATTTCCTTTTATGTGAAATACTAGTTTAAATCTTTTGCTTATATACTGTCAGGTATCTGTCATTTTCTTATTGATCTATTGGTGTTCTTTATAAATTAAATATTCTAAATAGAAGTCCTTTGTTGGTTATATATTTTGCAAGTATCCACACACAAAGATTTAAAAATATTGATACCCCAATCTTATTCCAGACCAATTAAATCAGAATTTCTGTGGGTGGGGTGGGGGCATATTTAAAGGTTCCCTGGGTGATATTAATTGTCCTATGTGAGGTGAATAGAATAGAAATTAGTGTAAGTAATGATTTTCTAGCCACAAACTATCCTTTGAAGCAGTTATGGTAATGGATATGTGGACTGTCTCTGGAATCAGATTGCCTGAGTTTGCTCCCAGGCTCTGTTCATGATAGACTTTAGGCTTAACTTTTCTGTGTTCCAGTATTTTTTCATTTGTAAAACTGGGTAATAATATCTGTCAGATAGTCCTTGTGAATACTAAATGAGCAATTATATGTAAAGTGCTTAGACCTATATATGACACATAGCAGATGCTCAGTAAGTGTCTGTGTTATTTGGTGATAATAGAACTCTGTACTATTTTTAAAACTGTTTTGTAAATCTAAAATAAGTTCACAATAAAGTTTTTAAAATGTAGTGAGTTTTGCCCTACCCAATTTTTCTCAGCATTGGCCTATGGACTGAAGGATCCCTGGTCCAATTTTGGTCAAGGGCAAATGCCCTGGTTGTGGGCTCGATCCCCAGTGGGGGGCGTGCAGTAGGCAGCCAATTAATGATTCTCATCATTGATGTTTCAATCTCTCTCTCCCTTCCTCTCTAAAATCAATGTGTGTGTGTGTGTGTGTGTGTGTGTGTGTGTGTGTGTGTGTGTGTATAAAGTATGAAGTGAGCCTGCTTTTAAAAAATAAATTGAGTTTCCAGGCACTTGAGGACACATAAGGAATAATCTAGCCACTCAATAAGAGGTTGTAGAAAGGATTCAAGCCCGATGGGGTGGTTCCAATACATAGCCTTTAAGGTTTTTTTAAACCATGAGTTTTTTGTTTTTAACAGAATTCTTAGTTTAAAAGGTGAATTATAGGATTCCACACAAACTTTGATCTAAGACTAATCCCCTTGGATTTATAGAAAGTGAACAATAAGATAGCTCAGTTTTACTTCATTTGAGCAAAGATGCATACTGTGAGGATCACAAAATGTGTTATGAAATATTTGAATTAGTTTATTCATTTCCCTTCATTTTAAATACTTGTGAACAAATTTACACTCATAGATGTTTTCAGCCATACTCAAAATAGTTATTCTAAACTATACCATATATTAGAACACGGGGCTTGAACAATTTAAATCAGGTGAAAATTATACTCTGAAGTGGAGAAAAACATTTCAAACAAAACATGCAATATGATCCATTTTTGTCAAAATTATAAGAAAGAGCTTAGAATTTTATTAGATAAAATGTAAACAGTGGTTAGCTCTGGATGGTTGCAAGTGGGTGTTTTTCTTTGCTTATCAGCAATTTCTAAATTTTCTATAATAATTATATAACTGTATAATCATAAAACAATCCAGATTATAAATGATTATTTTTAAAAGCAGTGTAACAAATTTTCAGATATCTGAACAGTGGAGTAATGAATGAAATACTCCAGACAAATGAACATAACCAGATATAAAACATCTGTACTCCTGACAGTCATTTGTGTTAGGATGACTGCCTTGAAGCTACAGATCTGATAGGTGAATTTTTCTCCAATCTTCACTTTAATTAAAAATGTTGAAAGATATTCAGCAAATAAGTGAAGCATTTGCAATTGTTAAGCTAACAATGTCAGAGAAAACACTTAACATCTCAATGCCCAATTTAATTTTTTAATAGTTTCTTTTTTAAAATGTAAAGAGAATATACACTTTTTTTTGGGGGGGGGAGGGAGTAAAGAGATTATGTATTGGGGTATTTTTTCTAGTCTTATTTCACTTTATGCAGCATAGATTAGAGGGTAAATTTAGCCCTGCTCTTTATTTTTATTTTTTAAAATATATTTTATTGATTTTTTACAGAGAGGAAAGGAGAGTGATAGAGAATTAGAAACATCAATGATAGAGAAACATCGATCAGCTGCCTCCTGCACACCCCCTACTGGGGATGTGCCCACAATGATGGTACATGCCCTTGGACCGGAATTGAACCTGGGACCCTTCAGTCCGCAGGCCAATGCTCTATCCAATGAGCCAAACCAGTTAGGGCTAGCCCTGCTCTTTAAATTAATATCCATTTCCTAGTGATTAGACGCTAACACAGTACTTTTTAAATTTTAATGTGCATCCGAACCAACCCAGGGATTCTGATTCTGTAGGTCTGGTATGGGACTGTGATATAGTACCAGAGTCACCTGTGGGTTTGTTAGAAATGCAGAATCTTGGACCCTACCTTAAATCTACTCAATTACAATCTACATTTGAACATCCCCATTTGACTTACTTGCATATTGATCTTAAGAACCTAATATAGTCTTATTCTACTTTCAGTTTCTACAGTTTTCTATGAAAATTTCTTAAATAAATAATCCTATATAATAAAAGCCTAATATGCAAATCGACGGAATGGCAAAGTGACCAGTGGAACAACTGGTCTCTGTGACATGCATTGACCACCAGGGGGCAGACGCTCAATGCAGGAGCTTCCCCCAGCCCGCAGGCCCCAGGCCAGCCAAAGGCAGGTGCCAGTCGGGGGCCCCTGATCGCCCCACTGGTCACCGTGCAGAGGGAGGCAACTGGTGGCGGTGGCAGGAGGTGGGGCCCTGATAGCCCCGCCAGTCGCCCCACAGATTATCCCTGATTGTTGGCCTGGCCTAGGGACCCTACATGTGCATGAATGTTATGCACCTGGCCTCTAGTAATATTATAAAGATTATAGAAATCAATATTAGCAAATAATGCAACTTGTAAAACTATTCTTAGATAAAGTATTTTTCTTAACATAAAATTTCTTTGATTCTTAGGTGACTTTAAAGTTACTGCTTGTTGGTTTATTCTACCTAATGCCAAGTGGTTTGTGTAGCTAATCAAATGCAAGCACTTCCCCTGCTTATACTCATTTGAGAAGGTTTGTTTCAGAACTGTTTTTCTATATTCTACTGACATAGTGGAGAGCCTTTCACCAAGTGCTATAATGATAGAATTATCAGTGTGATTAAGTGGCATAGTTACCTCATATCTTTGTTTCTAATTTATAATAAATAAATGAGTTTCTAGAGCTTTAAGACAACATGTTAAAAGAAAAGAAAATGAAATCCATGGGAAATTTGTTGAACTTCGTATTAAAAGAGAAAATTATAGTGATCACCCACAAGCCTCTAAATTATTTTATAAATCCAATTTTCTTTATTCACAGATGACAAGTCTTTGGGGTTCTGGAAAATCATTATTTCATTTGAGGTACATTCATACCACATTAAAACTATAACAGAAGAACTCTGACATTTCTGACTATTTTTCTGACTATAATGAAAATTAATTGTGAACTGCTTAGGATTCTACACTATAGGGTTCCAAAAGGAAGTGATTATGTGGCTAAGCTTAACAATGAATTTCAGTCTTACACACACTTTAAAGAGCAGGGCTAGCCCTACTCTGATAAAGTTTATTGGATTACATTTAAAATTAACCCTGCTAATGCCATTCTAATACTATCTTCTTTACACCTTAACCTTGATCTGACACTCACTCCCATGAGGATTTCCAACAAAATGTACTGAGAATTTGTTTACTAACACAAACTCTAATAAAATAACCAATGTGTATTGTAAAGGAAGGCTTACTAAATGTATTTTAAATCAAACCTGATTTTTTTAAAGCCTGAGAACAAAGAACTCACACTATTTTATGTCAGTACCATTAGAGAGGAGCTGATAAATTGAGCCTACATAATTGAAAGCACAACAATAGAAAAATAAAAAGAGATAGTATTTTCATAGAGTTGCTGCAGTGTCTGCTACAGTTTATTTTTTTAAATAGATTTTTATTTGATTTCAGAGAGGAAGGGAGAGGGAGAGAGAGAGAGAAACATCAGTGATGAGAGAAAATCACTGATCAGCTACCTCCTGCACGCCCCCAACTGGGAATTGAGCTCACAACCCAGGCATATGCCCTGACCAGGAATCGAACCAGGGACCTCCTGGTTCATAGCTTGACACTCAACCACTGAGCCATGCAGGCAGGGCCCCTCTGCTACAGTTTAATATATCACTATGAGATACATAAGTTAACATAGCTTTCCGAGCAAAGAAGGTCTTGGAAGAAAAGGATGAAATGAAAGTGCTTTCCAAGTCACCATCTATTCCCAGGAAATATTTGCTGCTGAAGAATAGAGTAAGACTTTACACCTGGCTTTTGTCATAGAAAAAGTTCTCATAAGCTTTTCAATCCTAAATATATTTTATAATGTTAACCTTAAATTCCATAATCAATTTTGCAAAGGTAAAGTCATATCAATAACATTAGCCTGTGGCCTAAGGATTCCTTACTATTGTTTTAAAAATTTATGATAGTATTTCAATTAATTTCAATTAGTCTCTGAAAATGTAAATTTTACCTTTCCTAAATATCCTATTATCTATTTTACCACTAGTAATTTTTTTACAGCCATGATTTTAGATCAGTTTCCTTAATTACTTGCTCTTCACAAATGTTAAAATATTAATATTTAGTAAGCAAATTTTTATAGTTCAAAGATATCTGGATTGATCAAAGTTTTGTGCTTTCCATACAATTTTATTTTTTGATTTACAAGAGGTTTGTGGTAAAGAGGAGACCAAGATGGCGGCGTAGGTAAATACCGGAGACCGCTGCCGCATACAACCATTTCAAAAATACAACTAAAAGACGGAACGGACATCACCCAGAACCACAGGAAGGCTGGCTGAAGAGAGACTCTACAACTAGAAGGAAAGAGAACAGCAAACCGAGGCTCAGAGGAGGCGCAGTGTGGAAAATACAAAGGTACTGAGGTGCGAAAGCGGGCTGGTGGCTGAGGGCGCGGTTGTCGTTTTCGGTCGGGAGTGAGTTTCAGACTCTGGGCTCTAGATCTGGGCGAGTCTCTAGGGATTCAGACTCAGACGGGAGAAGCGGGATTATCCGGCATCAGTTGGAACCTGAGGGCAGCTTTCTCTCCGAGGTTTGCAGCGGCTGCCGGGGTTCTGAGAAGCAGAGCCTCTGGGAACGGGACTGAGAGCGGCCATAGCTGCTCCCTCCCCCCGCCCTGTTGATCCCGCCCCGCCCAAGCCCTGCGCACAGCCATTTGCCGATCGCCTCAGGCAAAGGCTGGATTAGCGCCTTTCCAGAGGACTGAAGTTTTCCACACAGCTGATTCTCACACCCAGTCGGCCTGGTGGTCAAATCTCTCTAGTATTAACTACAACAATTAAGGCTTAACTAGAACAAGACTGCGCACAAAGACCACAAGGGGGTGCACCAAGAAAGCATAAAAGTTGCAGAGACAAAAAAACATGACAGAAATGGAGGATATGGAGCTAAGAATCGCAATTTTGAGGGCTTGCTATAAACTTGAGCAGAGCCTCACGAAAACTAATGAGACCCTCGATGCTACGATAAAGAAATTAGAAAGTAAGCATACACGGACTGAAATAAAGAATATTATACCCAATAGCAGACCAGAGGAGCACAAGAATCAAACCAAAGATTCGACAAAAAACACCCAACTGGAAAAGCAAAATGAAAAAAGAATCCGAAAGTGTGAAGATAGTGTAAGGAGCCTCTGGGACAGCTTCAAGCGCACTAATATCAGAATAATAGGGGTGCCAGAAGATGAGAGACAGCAAGATATTGAAAACCTATTTGAAGAAATAATGGCAGAAAACTTCCCCCACCTGGTGAAAGAAATGGACTTACAGGTCCAAGAAGCGCAGAGAACCCCAAACAAAAGGAATCCAAAGAGGACCACACCAAGACACATCATCATTAAAATGCCAAGAGCAAAAGACAAAGAGAGAATCTTAAAAGCAGCAAGAGAAAGAGACTCAATTACCTACAAGGGAATACCCATACGACTGTCAGCTGATTTCTCAACAGAAACTTTGCAGGCCAGAAGGGAATGGCAAGAAATATTCAAAGTACTGAATACCAAGAACCTACAACCAAGATTACTTTATCCAGCAAAGCTATCATTCAGAATTGAAGGTCAGATAAAGAGCTTCACAGATAAGGAAAAGCTAAAGGACTTCATCACCACTAAACCAGTATTATACGAAATGCTGAAAGGTTTCCTTTAAGAAGAGGAAGAAGAAAAAGGTAAAGATACAAATTGTGAACAATAAACATGCATCTATCAACAAGTGAATCTAAGAATCAAGTGAATAAATAATCCGATGTACAGAATGAACTGGTGATTACAATGAATCAGGGACATAGAAGGGGAATGGACTGACTATTCTTGGGGGGGGGGAAGGGGAATGGGAGATGCGGGAAGAGAATGGACAAAAATCGTGCACCTATGGATGAGGACAGTGGGTGGGGAGTGAGGGCGGAGGGTGGGGCGGGAACTGGGAGAAGGGGAGTTATGGGAAAAAAAGAGGAACAAATGTAATCAGAACAATAAAGATTTAATTTAAAAAAATAAATAAATAAATAAAGGAGAAAAAAAAAGAGGTTTGTGGTAAGTTGTGTTTCTTCATTCTCTTAAGACTATATACATTGATATGTAAAGTGTCTAATCCTTTCATATTTATAAGTGTAGTTATTTGATTATAATCTCTGACCTGCAGCCAAGACTTTTAAATTGTTATGTTTTAGATGATAATAGCCAATGTTGTAAGAAAATACATAAGAAAATAGAGTTGAGTGGAAGAAATTATGTTGAGTGGAAGAAAAGGAAGTCCCAGAAGACTAGGTACAGTATGATACCATCTTTAGAAAGCTCAAAATAAGCAAAACTAAACAATATATTGGGCTAGAATTATGTTCATTTATTATGTTCATTTATGCTAAGACAATAAAACAAAAAAAATGATGAGGAAGATTCAAGATAGCTGTAATGCCTAAGGGGTGTGCATGAGGATGGGATGGGGCAGTGGCACATAAGTAGTTGCAAGTTATTGGGATGCGCGTGCGCGTGCACACACACACACACACACACACACACACACCAGGAGGTTTAGATTATTTAGGAGCAAATTGATGCTGAAATAATAGGAATTCAGGGTACCATATTATTCTAAAAATACTGAGCATTGTGTCCTGTCAATAATACACTTTTCACTGTATTTCTTAACGTATGGAAAATATTTGGTGAGATATCAAATCACTAAACTATGAATAATTATCCTATCTAATAATAGACAAACATGGTAATTGACCATACCTTCACTACACCTCCCATGGGCTAATCAGCACGGTATGCAAATTAACCACCAATGAAGATGGCGGCTAATTTGCATACTGCAGGAGGGGCCAGCAGCGCACGACGCTGCCCGTGGGACCCGGGCCTCAGACCCCTGACCCGGCGAGGTGGGGCCGGTAGCGCCCGACGCTGCCCGGGGGATCCGGGCCTTGGATCCATGACCTGGCGAGGGAGCAAAGCGGGGGAGAAGGAAGAGAGCCCAGATGGCAGAGAAGGGAGGGAGCCGAGGGCTAAGTGGCGAAGGGAGGGAGTGAGGCAGCGGAGAAGGGAGTGAAGCCCACCTTGGTGGGCTTTGCTCCCTTCTCTGCTTCGCTGCAATCTCAGGAAGCCCTATTCTTGCAGGAATAGGCCCGAGGAAGCCCTATTCTTGCAGGAATCTTCCTGCAACAGGCCTCTAGTTTTTAATAATATAGTTTCTTTTATTAACCAATTTTTAAAATGTGATGTCAGAGTAAGATTAGTAGTTTTAATTAATCAATAAGGATAAAAGAAACATAAAAAGAGAAAAGAAATCTCAGATTATTCTGCTCATATTCACAGTTGCTGTTATATAGTCCAATAATGAAGGCATTATTTCTAGCAGATATTTGTAGAGCTATGCTTTTGATTCCAGTGACTGGGAGCAATTGGGCTTCGATTTCTATCAAATCATGTAGGAAAATACTTCTCTTCCTCGTAAATAGTGTGGAAAGCAATAATAAATTTAATTACTAGATATGAGACTTTGGAGGAAAGAATAATCTCATATTAATATAACATTACAAATTTCAGTAAAATAAGAAGTTTCTTTCATTATTCTAGGCAGGTTGGAATCTAGGAGAGAAGGGGATGAAATTAATGTATAAATTCTTTCACTTTTATAAAACACTAGAGGTCCGATGCATGAAATTTGTACAAGAGTAGGCCTTCCTTCCCCCGGCTGCCAGCACCAGCTTCCCTCTGGCACCCAGGACCTGGTCTTCCCTCACAGTCCCAGCTTTGTCTGGAAGGTCATCTGGAAGGATGTCTGATCTAATTAGCATATTATGCTTTTATTATTATACTAGTGGCCCAGTGCACGAAATTCGTGCATGGGGGGGTGTTTGTCCCTCAGCCCGGCCTGCACCCCTCCAATCAAGGACCCCTCAGGGGATGTCCAACTGCCGGTTTAGGCCCGACATCCGTCTTGCAATCCGGGACAGCTGGCTCCTAACCGCTCACCTGCCTGCCTTCCTGATTGCACCTAACCACTCTGCCTGCTGGCCTGGTCGCCCCCAACTGCCACCCATGCTGGCCTGATCGCCCCCAACTGCCCCCCACGCCAGCCTGCTTGCCCCTAACTTCCCCCCCACCGGCCTGATTGCCTCCAACTGCCCCCCACTACAAGCCTGCTCACCCCCAACTGCCCCCCCCCCACCAGCCTGCTTGCCTCCAACTGCCCTCCCCTCCTGGCCTGATTGCCCCTAACCACCTCTGCCTCGGTCCGCCACCATGGCTTTGTCTGGAAGGACGTCCAGAAGGTCTCCTGGAAGGTTTCCCAGTCTAATTAGCATATTACTCTTTTATTAGTATAGATAGAGGCCTGGTGCACGAAATTCGTGCATGGGGGGATGTCCCTCAGCCTAGCCTGCACCCTCTTCAATCTGGGACCCCTAGGGGGATGTCTGACTGCTGGTTTAGGCTAACTGCCTATGCCTGCCGGCCTGATCGCCCCTACCTTCCCCCCCTGCCAGCCTGATCACCCCTACCTTGCCCGCCCTGCCGGCCTGATCACCCCGGCCTATGCCACAGTCTGGCCTCTCTCTGCAGGAGGTGACCTGGCGGATCAGGGGAAGGCGCCGCCCCTATTACCCCACTGCTGCTGCCACTGCCAGCCTGAGCCTGGGCCCTTCACAGCCACGCCTTGGCCCTTCGAAGCTGCCCACAGCTGCCTGAGCCTCGGCCCTCGCAGCCGCTGTGGCTTTGTCCAGAGGAATGTCCAGAAGGTTGTCTGGAAGACATCCGCCCTAATTAGCATGTTACCCTTTTATTAGTATAGATATTATAAAACCTTTCTTTCATCCTTAAAGGGATAGACATTCAGCAGGGCTTGCAAAGACTCACTTGTGTGTATTCTGGAATAGTTCTTTATTTCATTGCTAAGGAGAACTAGAGGGACTAGTTCTAGCAAGATTAAGATGTAACCTGTCTAGAATAGTTGCAGCAGGACTATCCTTCTCACCACTAGTTGTATAAATATTTGCCTTTATATTTAAAAAAGGAAACTTCTCTTGGTGTCAAATACTTTTTGGGTGAAGGAATAATAAAACCTACAAGTTAACTAATTTGAAACAAGTTCTGAGGGTCTAGTCTGAATTTAAGTAGCTTGCTTGCCCTACAATTCTCAAATAATCTATTAACTCTTTTAATCCCCAAATATATATATTTTTTGAATGAAAATGTAAGGTCCTTTTAAAGATACCTTGAAATAAAGTTTAGTATTATGGAAATTAATTGAGGCAAGTGTAATTAGACTTGGACTTGATTGAATAGAATACGCAACTGAGAATTTTTTTTATGCCTGTCATATTTGTTCTCTAATTTCACAGGAAGAATAATCTTTACTGTACCTGACGAGGAGTTCTTTCTGATTTACTCCTACACCATTCCCAGTCTGAAAGGTCTGGTTTCTGATTCTCCTCATGAGAAAGTCTTCTTTCTGGCCCTTCCAAAAAGGTGGTTTCTTCATAGTGAATATCACCTCTTTTTTCATAGAGCAGTGGGTCAACACCCTTCTCATTGTGGGAATCCTGTTTAGCCTCTGTAATATCAGTATTCGTATACTTGTTAATGCCTTTAAGTGTGGAGCTGTCCAGGGAGGGTGTAGTGCTGATTTCCACTTTTATGGCACTGAAGATATTAGGAGTGTCTCTCTGAGAATCTTTTGGAGTTTTGCATTCATAGTTCATGAGATTGTGATAGGATATAGAATTTCCATCATCACCATAGTAGTCTTCATGTGCTATTTTATAAATTCCATAACTTTGTTCAAATGATAGATTGAATTCAAAGCAGTTTCTCTTGGCTAAATAAAAACAAAAACAAAATTCCATGGTTAGGAAAGTAGATACAAACAATAGTTGAATATACATAGTAAATAAAATTAGGAAAGTGCATTCAACCTCATTACTATGAATTTAAAAACTATCTTCATTTACTTCTTGTCAATTATGCAAAGCAATTATGCCTCACAAATTCAAGTCATTTTTTCACTCCGTGCCTAATGTTTCTCTCTTGCACAATGAGAGGCTTGAAATACATCCAATTCCAAGAACCCAGTAGTCTTTAAATCAGTTTTATGTATCAAAAATTTAACTATTAATTAGAAAACTCTCATAATGTCTCAGATGTGCTGTCTTTAAGTTAGGGACAGTGCATTAATTATGAAATGTAACCATTAAAAACTCTTCTTGTTAGTGACTGTCCTTAACATTAAGGTAAATACTGACTGAGTTAACTAATATATGTAATAGGTTATAACAATATAAAAGAGTTAACAGGGCTTGACTAATAACTAACAAGTAACTTAGACTATTAGAATATAGTCAGGATCTTTTGAAGTCTATACTACACTTAAGAAAAGGAAATATAATGTATCTATTCTGAAAAGCAAAACTCTGAAAAGCATGATTAACTCTAGTCTTTTGTTTTAATCATAACTTGCTAATTACAATGTACACATATGTAATTATATCAATTTATAAAAATAATTCTTCAGAGAAATATGTCACCAGATACTCTGATTTTGTCCACAATTAAAGCTTAAAATCTGATTGTGATATAAAATATTTTAACTACTTAATTTAAAAAGAACACATATCATGCAAACAAAATGAGTCTGAAAGCCATATCCAATGCATATGTCTACCACCGGAGACTGTTAAAACCTTTTTTTTTTAACATTTTTGTTTTGAGACATAATACAGGTGACTGCTGGAGAGAGTTGTTATTTCTGTAGAGTATTTTTATTCCTGACGTTTATCATCAGGTTGCAAGTCTCAGTTTCCATTCAGTGAAGCTGAGATGTGGAATTATATTTCCACCTGCATAATGAACCTGTGGTAAGTATGAGTTAGGGAAAAAATCCTTTCTTGTTTCTGGAGTTCACTGATAAAGATTTAAAGGGGGGATCTTAGTTTGTTGAGGAGAAAAAGCTTAAATGTGAAATCGGAGTCACACTCCCAAGAATCAAGGTACTGTAATTGATCAAGCCCCTGCATACTTGAGGACAGACCATCTTTGGGGTTTTCTGTAGTGTCGTCCTAGCAAAAGGAAAATTTATGCAGAATCCTCAGACAGTGAAAATATATCATTTTTATTCAAAGAATGCCCCTTGGATCATAAGAAATGAATAGAGTCATTTGAACTATAAGTATTTTAAACTAATATTTCTCACATTTTATTTTAGAATCCATGCCTCTTTCTGTATGCCTACATATTTCAGGGCCTTCCCTGAATTTTAAAATAAATACAAACAAGAGCAAGATACAGAAAACTATGATTTTGATCTTGAAAAGCATGGTTTTTATTTCAAACATGAAATTTTAATGTTATTATTGATTCTGCTAGTTTGCCCTACGCTCTTCTATCTCGGCCGTATCAGATAGAATACTCCGTAGACCATTTGCAGTGATGTCTGTTGCATTGCTTTACTTTTCAGCTCTGATACAGGTGCTCTTTACTTCTTAAAAGGACTGTCCTGAACCACTTAACTAAGACTTTTCATTTTCACTGGCACTAGACTCTTTTCACAACTTTAAATACTACAAGAAGCTGGTTCATTAATTTAGTGGCAAGAGGTTAACATTTGATAGACTGTTAGAATTTATCGACTTGTTAATGCTTTTTATATGCTTTGTCCTTTTTTTAAAAAAAAACTCAGGTATTTGGTGGGGATTTTGTTTTGTGTTTTTCTAAAAGCAGAGGCATACACTTAAATTTTGTTTTGGAACTGTTTTCAGGCATTTATTCTTACTCTAAAAACTCTCCTAAACCCTGGAAGAATACAAGCAGCAAATAATGAAAATGCTCTTCTGTACTGTTCCATTAAATAATAATGGGCGATAATATAATGAATCTTTAACTCTTTAGAGAGTTTATCTCTTTTCAGATGCAGGCTTCTTAATGTAGACTTGGGAGATGAATTTATTTCCTACTCTGGGCTAAGAGCTATGGTGGACCTGATGCCCAAGAGCCCTCGTTGAATTTACCTGAAATTATTATTCAATGTATAAGCACTTCACAGCGTTGTTTTAAACCCACTCACTTAAAACTTCCTTCCAGCACTGTGCCAAGAATTGTTTCACATTATAATTTCTTTCCTCTATTTTCCATTTACATTTGTCCTTGGACTCTTCGCCCCCTACTTGGGTGGGCAAGTTTCTCAATAGACCACTTTTCTGTATTTGACTGTATGCTATTGCTCCCAACCGCCGCACTGAGGAGGACTTACTTTTTCCCCCATCGGATGCCACTGCATATGCATCCTGCTTGCAGTTGATGATGCAGCCACAGGGCAGGTGGGTCCAGCGTTTGGACAAGACAAACACGGGGGTTACAGTGGTGGCCAGCAGGGTTAGTAGGAAGCTGAGTGACTCGAAGGGAAGGCTCTGAAAGCCCATGTGCTGGACCACCATGTGGATCTGCAAAGGAGAGAGCTTCAGACATATCCCAGCATCACACTTTCACTTCCCCAGACCTTTCCCCCAAGCATGCTGTCCCAGACTCCTTTTCCTGGCCCCTTCCCTGCCAGAGAGAGTTCTGCCTCTGGGCTGGCACCCCTAGTGGTGGTCTCCTGGGATCTCAGATGCTCCTGACAGAACAGGACTTTGGGGGTTTACACTCCTGAGTGTCTGATCTTGCCTGCTGCCAGCTCAAGTCTCCACCAAGGAAGCACAGTCCACAATGGGGAACTGGGGGTGCTACTGGGAAAACAGGAAAGTGTCTGTGAAACCTGAACCTGGTCCCCCAGATGGCCCTTGGTTACTTCCCTGGGATGTCACCTCTGTGCAGGCCAGCTGTCATAGCAGGGTGCTGCCCTGGTACTTCTCACCTGGGATCCCTCTGAAGGCTTGAACAAAAGCCTGTTTAGTCCCTTCGCTTCTCTCTCTACTTCTGATTGAGCCTCTCCTGCTGGGATGGGCGTTTCCTCCTAACCAGGCTGGAATGGAGTGGAGAGAATGGAATAACAACAGAAGATGGGGGAGAAACAACAACACATCTCTTTTTTATAACGGCCTCCTTTTCTGAATACTCCCAGGGATTGCTATGAGAGAAATGAACACCCTTGGCCACGACAGATCTTGGAAAACTCAGTATCCAATGCCCCAAAGCTCTCCTCGCCCCCTCCCCAATTTTAATGTTGAAAGAAGCATTTGGTATCAAGGCTTCTCTGCGGATCAGCGCTGCCCTTCAACTGCCTTCCTACAAGCGCATCTCTAAAACCGCGAGAGGTACATTTGGAAGCGGACTCTCGGTGATTCCCCAAACCAGGGGCGCCCGGTCCCAACACGCACTCACGCTGTCTGGCACACACACCCGCGCGCTGCGAGCAACTGCACTTTTACCATCATGGGAAGCCAAAGGATGACTTTGGTCAGCGCCAGGATCAAAGAGAAGCGCTTCTGCGCTGTGCTCACGCTGAAGCTCCTGGTGCCATAGAGAGTCCCCGGGTCCTCACGCCTGCAGGCTCCAGCCCCAGCAGCTGCGCTGCGCCCTGGCCCGCGCTCCTGCTCCACCCTCCCGGGCGGCCCCGGCCCCAACACGGCGTCTGAGTTCGGGGAGCATCCCGCAAAGCGACGCAGGGCAGGGCCCAGAGCATCCTCTGGGCACAGGGAAAGCACTCTCTCCCCAGTTGGAGGGGTCCCGGGGGTGGACGTTCCGCGGGAAATCTCCTGGTAGTGAGCATGGAGTCTCAGCGGCTCCTCTGAGCACAGCAGCTGGTGAATGAGCGGGACCGAGAGGCCGGCGAGCAGTCCGAAGGCTGAAGTGTACACCGCGAAGAGCAGCAGCACGTAGGAGCTGGAGCAGTCCGCCAGGCAGCCCCAGGGCGTGCGCACGAAGGCGCCCCAGCCGCACAGTGGGAGCGCGGAGAGCAGCAGGCTGGCTGCCCACACCATCAGGGCCACGCCGAGCACCTGACTGGATCTTCTGGAGGCTGCCTGGCTCCCTACAGTCCTGTGCATCGTGTAAAAGTTGTATGAGACTAGGAGAGTCGCCTTCAAGTTGCTCGAGAGGCCCTGGCACAAATAGAGTAAGGCAGAGGTGGTGCACAGAGACTGGAAGTAGTCAAAGACCTCGTTTGGCCACTGCAAAAACATGAAGATGGTCACCGACAGGACGCTCAGGAGATCATCCCCACACCAGGACGCCACGAGCATGGACACAACAGTTCTGTTCTGCGTTTTCAGCAGGGAAACTAGTGAATAGATGCTGCCTGCCAGGGCTGCGAGAGTCAGGAAGCACGTCAGGCAAAAAAGGTAGACGTTCAGAGTTCCTGGTGGATTTAAAAGATCTGTCGAATTATGATTCTCTTTCCATAGACTAGAGTCATTTGTTAAGTTATTGAGAAATACGGACATTGTCCTCAGTCAGTATTTAATTTCCCTTTCCATGAGCCTGTACATATTCTCAAAATAAAGCTGAGCTGTTAGTTGCAAATCAGATCTCATTTTCTCCTACCAAGTTTCCCTCTACATGTTCCCCCGTCAGTCGAGCACAAAATGGTCAGGCATTTCTCCTTTAGATCTGACTCAACCCATATTAAAAATTGGATTCCATTGAAAGCATCAATAAGAAACTTTTCAACATTCCCATTAAAAACAAACCCAACCAAAACCTCCTCCCTAAAACCATCAAGTTTCAGGCATAAAAACAAAAGCTCCTCAGGCAGATTGGAAAAAGAAAATGCTGTCTGGGTCCGTTAGGGTCCTTCTTATGGAGCAAAGCAGTTTGTAGCTGGAGAAAATCAAACTCTTTTCACTTTTTAAGAGCAGTGAAATGATGCATTTGTTTCCATAGCTGGATTCAAAGGCAGAGAGAGTATCAGGTAGGTTTCAGCTTTGCCGATTCAGGGAGAGAGGCAGAGAGAGAGAGAGAAAGTGGGAGAGAAAGAGAGAGAGGATGAGAGAGACACAGAGCACAGCTCCCCTTCTGAACCGCTGTGTTCTTCAATCAGCCAGTGATCCTCAGAGCTGCAGGAAGGAGGGAGGAGCCAGCTCCAAGCAGGAGAAAAGCAGGAACAAAAGGGAGGGGAGTTCAGTGTATGAGCCAAATGATATCCATCTTCTCAGCTTGCCTCATCTGAAACAAGAAGCAGTGTCCTTGCTAAGCCTTCCCCTTTGGTTTTAACATATAAAACTAGCCCGAATACTTGCTCAGGTTTGATGTGAATGACAAATACCATCTTTGAGAAGTCCAAGCTACACCATGAAGGGGCTACTTTTATTCTTATCTAGACCTCTCTGATTCATAATCTGTTGGAGAAAGAATATTATCAATGCCATGTTTAAAAGAATAGAAGGTACCAGCTTTGTTTTTTTTTTTAATAAGGGTGGGGCAAAAGTAGGTTACACTTGTGAGTAGGAAAAACAGTTTATTTTTGTATTATTATTTATTAGTTATTGTATTATTTTCCATACAACTATAAACCTACTTTTGCCTCACCCTGTATATGTTGTACTTAATAATAAATAATAAAAATGTCATTACAGTCCTCATTATACTAAACAAGATTTTGCAGAATCTTTGATAGAGCCATACTAGCTTTAGGAATATAACTATTTTCTGACCATGTCATCAAGTTAAGCGAGCCACCATTTGAATAAGTAATATTTCTTGTTGTTAAAGCCAGATTACATTATATAGGGCCAGACTGCAGGGGTCCTCAAACTATGGCCCGTGGGCCACATGCAAATACAAATATTGTATTTGTTTTTTTTTTTTTTTTACACAACAGAAATTTTATTTATTTTTTAAATTTCTTTATTAAGTTATTACATATGTGTCCTTATCCCCACGTTACCCCCCACCCCCCCTCTCATGCCCTCACCCCCCTGTTGTCTGTGTCCATTGGTTAGGCCTATATGCTTGCATATAAGTCCTTTGGTTGATCTCTTCCCCTTACCCCCACCCTCCCCTACCTTCCCTCTGAGGTTTGATGGTCTGATGGATGCTTCTCTGTCTCTGGATCTGTTTTTGTTCATCAGTCTATGTTGTTCATTATATTCCATAAATGAGTGAGGTCATGTGGTATTTATCTTTCTCTGACTGGCTTATTTCACTTAGCATAATGCTCTCCAGTTCCATCCATGCTGTTGCAAATGGTAAGAGTTCCTTCTTTTTTACTGCAGTGTAGTATTCCATTGTGTAGATGCACCACTGTTTTTTAATCCACTCATCTATGGAGGGGCACTTAGGCTGTTTCCAAATCTTAGCTATGGTGAATTGTGCTGCTATGAACATAGGGGTGCATATCAAATATTGTATTTGTTCCCGTTTTATTTTTTTACTTCAAAATAAGATATGTGAAGTGTGCATAGGAATTTGTTCATAGTTTTTTTTTTTTAAACTATAGTCCAGCCCTCCAACGGTCTGAGGGACAGTGAACTGGCCCCCTGTTTAAAAAGTTTGAGGACCCCTGGGCCAGAGTGTTGCCAGGACTGTTGCATAGAATCATTGCATCTCTGAACTGATTTAAACAGTGGTCAGTTTTGCAAGAGGAGATGTTTAGCAAAGAAGTAACTGACAGCAGTAGTTCTGATCTGCAGTTTCCCAGGATGCTTTGGGGTGGCTACCCTACAGCATTCCTTCTCAGCTCAGTCTCATGACCAGAGGGGTCTGAATGGAAGTGGGGTAAGGGAAAGGAGAAAGTTGATATGATTACGATCTAAATTAATGGAAGTGCTAATAGAGCTCTGAACATGCCGTTCATTTTAGAGATAATTGAAGCTACATTTTGAACCTGAATCTGTTCAAGTGGGAAGTGATTGTATTAGGCATTGCCAGCCATACGTTTCAATAAATACAGTAGGCGCTTTGCTATTCTTGACATGGTGTTTGAGTTCCCCTTTGCTCTGTAAATGGAACACAATCATTGTGACAGCACAACACTCTAGCTCTCCCTACTGTTAACATAGACCTTACAGTGTGGTGCGAGTAAAGATCTGGGGTAAACTCATCTTAAAATAATGTTGCTTCAGAAAGCACAAAATGATAAACAGACCTTATTTTTTTTACTATGTTCAGTGTTCTGTGGCATGCTATCCTCTCTCTTCTCTCAGATCTTATTCTTTCCTGCCATATGCAGAAATATTATTATTTAATATGGTATTTAACTCTGGATTTTCATTTAGGTTGGACAATCAGTATCACACTGTTAAAAATGAATAGGCATTAATAATAGTTGTTGCAATACCATTTGATGTCTAGGGACATTCCCTCTATCATTACCATCATATCTGGATTTTCTATTAAATATAAATTTGGAAGAGAGACATCTTACCAGAATGTCACCCTGGTCTCTATGCTATAACAAAAGAAGCAAGAGTGTTAGCACACATCCAAAAGTTGGTGGAATTATAGCCAGTGGGGGAGCTAGGAGAAATATCTGAATTTTACTCCAGATTTTGCAGTTGTTGGCTGTGTAACCTTGGACAAAAGTTTTTATACTTTCTCTGAGTGTTTGCTTTCACATCTGTAAAATAAGAGGGCTTGAATGGATTATTTTTAGGCCCTTTCAAGTTCTAAAGGGACAATATAACATTTAAATAGTTTGGGTTAACTTCATCTTAATTTTCTTTTCTGCCTGTTTCACAATAATCAATACTGTCACCCAGCTGGTGTTGCTCAGTGGTTGAGTGTTGACCTATGAACCAGGAGGTCACAGTTTGATTCCAGGTCAGAGCATATGTCAGGGCATATGCCCAGGTTGGGTTATGGGCTTGATCCCAAGTGGGGGGTGGGGTGGGTGTGCAGGAGACAGCCGATCAATGATTCTCTCTCATCATTGATGTTTCTTTCTCTCTCTCCCTCTCCCTTCCTCTCTGAAATCAATAAAAATATATTTTTAAAAAAATCAATATTGTCATCAAATAAAAGATAGAAGCTTGTGAGAGATGATGCTTGGATTCTCCATGCTTTCTCTTTCCCTATATGGCATGAAGGCCCTTATCAATATGAAGATGGCATAAGATTTAAGCAGCCTGAAATGTTGGGCAAACTGAAGGATCAGGGTTGCCCTGGAGGTCTGTGGGAACCTATAGTAGCTTTGTATGAGTGAGAAGTAAAAGTTGTTGTGTAAATGGCTGAGTTTGAGGTTCAGTTGTTACTGGGTGCTAATCTAGCTCATCCTATTATAGTTAGGCATACTGTTGCCCCCACACAGGTCAAAAGTGGTAGAGCCAGATTTAAAAATCATAGTCTGGTTCTGCATTCTTAATCGCAACAGACCCAGAATTTCCAATTACCCCTTTTGGCACCTCATGCTTGGGAACATTTCCAGTGGATGTTAATAATGATAAAGTTTTGTTATTGCTTTCCTTTGTCAAAAAGCATGTTTGGAATATCTTCATTTTTCAAAATTTTAACTTATAAATAACTGTTGACCAAGCTTTATGTATATGTATGTGTGTGTGTGTGTGTGTGTGTATTTTTTTTCTAGAAAGTTGTAAGCTCTTCCCTTAACCATAATCTCATTTTCTTTACAATATCCTCATGAGCTAATAATAAAATAATCATTCTAAATGCCTTACACATAACTTTTAGAAAACTAGGAAGAAAGATGTCTAAGAAGCCCCTTGTGCCTTAAAAATGTTTTCCTCTTTCTTGTGAGACTCATTCCTCTGTCTCACTTGCAATAAAGTTATATCTATTTGAATAGAAATTATGATTATGCTGGAACAGCTTAGGTGAAGACTTGTTTATTGTTGTCCTACTGCTGCCTTGATTATTTTTTTAAATGATTTTTAGAGAGAGAGGAAGGGAGATAAAAACATCAATGAGAAAAACATCAATAGGCTGCCTCCTGTATGCCCCCTACTGGGGATCAAGCCTGAAACCAGGCGTGTGCCCTAATCCAGAATCAAACCAGCGACCTCTTGGTGCATGGGTAAATGCTCAAACAACTGAGCCACAATGGCCAGGCTGTCTTGATTATTTTAAAACACATACCAAATATAGCATTACAGACTATAAAACAACCCACAGAGAATTACATGGCAATAATTTCATTAGGCTTTTAGTTTATGAACTCCTTGATGTAATTATAACTTTGCAAAGCACTGCAGGCTATTCATTTCTCTAAAAGTCTACATTATATCTGAAAATCCTCAGAACGGGAAATGGCATAAAAAAGTCTAGTTGAATATGGCAAAATAACATCTGTAGTAAACACAGGACCAATGGAAACATTTAGTCTTATTTCATGAAAATAAAAAGGTATCATGGGTAAGTTAATCATGAAGATGATAATATTTCTCTTTCTAGAAATATAGTGTTATGTAGCCAAAACGTTTTAGAGGACTGGTCCTTATTTAAGACTTTTGCTAACTTAATAATCAGAGGTGAAATGAAAGATCTCATA